TAGCGTCGGATGAAAGTATATTGGTGTTCTAGATTTGGCTGGTTTCCCTTTTTCACTGAGTATCAGACGAAAATATTTAGAGAATACTGATCATGTAGACAAGCGCTGTGATTTGTTGGTGGTGACCAATCAACAGTAATAAAATCGCGGTCAATGTTTATTAATGTTCTCTTGAAACATTTTAATTTACACTTCCCCTCGAACGAAAGCAAACAAAATTGCAGTTGCAAGTAGTAGAGTGCCAGTGTGAATTACCTTTGTGAATTGCATTATAAACTACATTCACGTTCGTAGTCATGCCTTTTGGAATTTCTTATGACATTATTCTCACCATAGCGAACTGGAGCTTGCAAGGGTTCTATAGACAAATAAAGACGATCGGTGAGGAGAATGTTCCCAAAGAAGGTCCGGTTATAGCTTGTTCTACTCATAGGTATGCAAACCATACTCAGCATTTGTCGCTAAGAACACGGACGTTAGTGGCTAGTCTACTTTGCATATATTTGAACTAGCATTGATCCACGATTATACTGGAATTGCGACTTGTAGTTATACTTCTTCGATCAATGTTAACTTGATAAAAATAATCTGTCAACTAATACATGTTCAATATTCTTGTCAAAAAGCAACATGATAGTCGACCCGGCTATTCTTGCGTATACTTTTCCTCACAAGAGAAAAGTTCATTTTTGGGCAAAGAACTCTCTGTTTAAGAATCCGCATGTTGCAAAGATATTGAAGAGTTCAGGTGTAGTGCCGGTAGATCGGACCACCAAGAATAATAAAACTCTGTTTGCATCCACATTTGAGGTGCTTAAACTGGGCGAAGTCGTTGCAGTATTCCCCGAAGGTAATATTTAAATGTGATAGAAGGAACAAGGCTTTGTCGTTGAATATTTTTGCAAGTATTGTTGATCTATCAAATTTCTTATCGCAGGCACTTCACATTCGGGAAGCAAATTGTTGGATTTGAAAGACGGCGCGTCTTGGGTATATATTATTTTAATAATCTTAATAATCTGTTCTTGTTGTCGTGATTTTACTTTCGTACTGACTGTCGTGCACGATCTTGTAGGCAGCATTGGAATACGCAAAATGCATTTATGAACCGTCTGGATCGGACGATGATTCTTGTGATGCAAAGCAGCAGACGGCGCCAGCGCCCGTCGTGATCTGCCCGCTTGGAATAACATATGTACAGAAGTCAAAATACAGAAGTTTGGTCGTCGCAGAGTATGTCACTATACAAGAGCTTTCCATAATCGCTTACTGGTAACTGTGTCTCCCGTTTTCTTACCTTCTTCGTCATTTTCAGATATGGACCCCCCATCGATGTTACGCAGTACTTGGAAGACTTTTTGAAAGATGCGCGTACCACCGTTAAGCGTCTGACTAAACATATTGAGGCGGAAATGTTTAAGCTGACGATTAATGCTAGTGATTGGGAAATTATGAAGGCAGCCGTTATGTCGCGACAACTGCTATTTTCCGACGACAGGGATGTTGCATTAGAAGACTTTGTTAAAATAACTCAGTGGTAAGAATTATATATAAAAAGTACGAAACGTGTCAACTCTTCATATTCAAACTCTTAATACTGTTATACTTCCTCTTCCATGATATTGCAGTTTAGTAAACTTTTATTCAACGGATTCGGCCGATAATCTTGACAAACTAAAATCGCGACTAAATCAGTACAAAACTACTCTGGATGATTTATCGCTCTCTGACTCTGACATTGCACGATATCAAGAGCGTGACATTAACATTCCCGGGGCAGGTTACACTCTCTTCGCTCATGTCCTCAAATGTATTATTCAATTGCCGTTCTTCCTTCCTGGTCTCGCGTTCCACTGGCCTATATACGTTATGGGGAAACTGTCGGCCAAGTATGAGAAGTATGAAGAGTCTAGAGCACAGAATAAGATTTTATTGGGACTTCTATGGCTGATTCTTTCGTATACTATTATGTTCTTTGCTGTCTGGCTGCTACTGTTCTTTACGCCTTTGGGAGTTGTGCTGGCGGGAGCGGTGGTATTTATCTTTGCGTGGTATCATGTTATCCTTGTTGACAGGTGAGTTAGGGAGTAGACAACGATTGAGGCCAAAAAGTTTAAAAGAAACTGTGTCAACATTATATGCTAACGATAATACATTATCTGCTTACCCTATAGTCATTACGACACGTTTAAAGATGTCATTTCATCCTATCGATTGCTGGCGGCTTTAGCCAGTGGTAAAGGCAGCAAACCTCACGAACAAGTTGAAGGGCTGGTGCAGGCGCGAAGACAATGTCTCCATGATCTGTCTAATGTCTGCGATAAATATGCTTCGAAAAGTGATGATCTCCGATATGTCATGGACTATTACAATCGAGTGAGATCGGAAAAGCTTTAATATACATATATCATACATGAACATTGTACCATATTTTCACCATTTGTCATTATTATCATTATTATATAATACCCATCGTTATTAAAGGGTCTAGTTTACTTTTCTCATGGGTTTCAAGATTTATGTGCACTCGGTAACAAGACATTTAGTGTGAGTTGCAGGTTACCAATATCAAATATCGTTTTTACTTAAGGAGAGTATAAAGAGGAGCGCAACTGAGGAAGTGAACGCTTAGAGATAATTCTTTCATTATATAGTTATATTCAAACATAGTCAGATGTTAAGATTGTTGATCGGGTAGTGGGTAAACTAGAAAATGGATCGGATTCTTACACAATGGTCAAGACATTTGCAATAAGAATGAACTGCCGTTTTTAAGCAAGGAGCAGCCTGGCGTATACTTTGATAAGTACCAGTCAAAAACCCTTGTTCGAGATATGACAAGTCTCCGTATATTGTTGAGCATCTCATGTTAAGGTAACATACCTTCTGGTACTCCAAACAATCAACACACATGCAGAAATGGCACGTGTTGCAATTAAAATACAAAAACATCATTGCTGTTGTGTTCGGAATGCGACAAAATGCCCCGGCCTAAAATCTCTATTGTGTGGACGTCTATAATAATATTCCGTAACCAATGTTTTTGCCGAAAGCGTTCCCCCCCCCCCCTTCCCATCAACAACACTGGTTTTCCCCCCACCGCCAAGTTTGACAAATAAGAACTTATGTTTTATTGCACCACAAAAAGTTTGTCTATAAGATTTATTGCGCGCCATATAAATAGTAATGCAAAATTATTATGCATAAAATGAAGGCAAGGGTTCACTGTGTAAATATTGTCTAAATTAAACAAATCCATACATCACATCTCCATCTCATCTCCTCCATGTCCATTCCTGGCAGTCATGCCCAAACATCCGGGACAATTATGTAATACCTCATGTATGAAAACATCACAGTCGACACAAAAATGCTGCAAGCATTTGGGACACGAGTATCGTCCTGAAGATGCATCAGCCGGTATTTGGCCCGAACGAGAGGATATTGGTGGAGGCTTTTCATACGGAATCTGGCAAGCATAACATTCTGTGCTTACCATGCTAGAGAAGTTAGACCAGTGATATCAGAAAACGCTCGTGGGGCATATGGATAATAAAATAATATAAACCTCGTTCCATTGCATATTCTCCCTGACTCACCTGTTCCATGGCACCTCCTCGAAATTCTCAACAGGAAACAAATGATGATATGATCTTGCCAAGTGTGGACTTGAAATCAACATCAACCCACATACGTCACACTCGGTTGGCAAATCACAAATCTTGCTCGTACATCTTGGACATATATAACCTCCCAGAACCAGCTTCTGATGACAGGCACAGAATGAAGGTGTAAGAGATGAGACGCGTGTTGGAAATCCCATAACAACTAGCTCGGATTTGTGAGAGGAAGACGTTATTGGTGGAGGTGGTATTAGATCAAACAAGAGGTCTTTGTAGTGAGGTTCGTTTAGAACCACGCTGTAGGTTCCTTTTGTTTTAGGTGATGAACGCATATGAATTAGCTAAAATTGGCTTGAAGGCTTTCACCATTCGCTCAACTTACCTTTTGTCTCTTTTGCCATGTATCTACAGATCTGTACCTCAGCTGCCAGTCCGACAACCGATACACGTATCGAATCTTTTTGCAATTGAGATATTGTATCGTATATATTACCCGGATCACAGGTAGTAAGAGAACCAAATATTATAAGCACTTCACGAGAGCCGTGACCCGGGACATGACTGAACAAGGAAAAGTGGTACCAAAGAAAAAGTAAGAACAGTCATTAGCCAAGGGGATCAATTAACGTAAAATATACTACTTACTACTTGCTCTTCAAGTCTTACACAGTTCACGGATAAAAACATACATCAATGAAGTCCTCGCCATTTCAAGTGCATTCTGCAACGATGGCTCGCCTTCCGGTTCGGTGTTCTTTTTACTTTTAAGAGCGCGAACGTGATCCATTGGGTTTCCTGTTGTCAAATGGAATAAAATATGAGAACTGGATGCAAGGTTTTACTGTCAAAGTTTCCCAAGTTTCAGCGCTCTCTCGCTCCCTCACGTTCTTTCTCCGCATACTCCATACCCGAGAGCTCGGTCAATTTCTCCGATAATCCGTCTCTCGTGGTAACAATTCCCAATTGACTTATTGGATTCTGATCGAAATACTCCGCAATGAATTGGTCCATGTATGATAACGTCAATTCAAGACGAGATGGACGAAGATCTTTCTCAAGCATTGATTCAGAGAGGTCTAAAATAAGAATCATATGTCGTATTATACCACGTCGGATTGTGGATGTATCGCGGAGGAGTCTAGGTATGAGAGAGAGGAGAAGCAGGAGGAGACAGCAGAGGGCGACTGAGTCAGTGAAGGAGAGCAAAGATTGAATTTAAGGTAGAGAAATTGTTGTGTGATTCAATGAAGCATACTGAGAGAACAAGGAGTCGTCATTTGTTATTTATGATAATTGTAAATTGATAAAGCTTTATTGAATTGGCAATTCATCTATAGATCTCTAACCAAACCTTCTTTAAAAAGGGGTCTACCATTCAAGATCTATCTCCCATCTCGCCATCTCTATCTAGTCTGTCATTCCCCACCTCTTCCTCTTCATACGATTTTGCAAATCTTCCACAATCCGTCTCAAACTCCCATCTTCGTCCTCCTGCAGTACATCCCAACTACGCTTATATTCTTCTTCCCAGGCGTACGCTGGTTGTTGCTGTTCTGCCTGAGCTTCGTCATCAATGTCTATATACTCTTCCTTGTTGTTGTCGTCTTTGTTGTTAGCCGACATCTTTAAATAATGATAGAGTATAGAAACGTGAGAAGACAGAAGGAGGGGAAGGTGGAGAGTAAGAGGTTGGTTTGAAAAAGCAATGCAATAGGAGTCCGAAGAAAAGTGAAGGTAGAAGAGCGCGTAGTAAATACTTTGGCAATTGTTTGCGTCACAGACTAAAGCCATTTATGGTATTCATAACTGGAGCTGAAATGTCATAAACGTGGCCAAAATTAATGATACCAAAATCCTCTAAATAGTAATGATAATGCTTTAGATTGGAAAACGTTGTCAGAAGAATTGGATGCATCGGGCAGAAATGTTCCTTTTGGTAGCAGAAGGAAAAGAAAATTGTTGATATACTAGCATAGCAAGCATATATTGCATCGTCACGTATTTTTTGTCATATTCCGTGTTTAATTTTCACGAGTGGCCATTTTTGCTGACTTTTCTGCATTAATACGGTGTCGACATTTTGTTGATTTTTTTGTGTATATTTGTGGGCGGCTCGATGTAGGGAGATTTGGATTATACTTTATAGAGGTCTTCTGCTTCATCAACCACATTATCTAACAATTATCATTATTAATATATATACAGGGAATCTGCTAGTTTCACCTTTTCTCGCAAGCTCACGACAGTGTTGGGCGCGTTTTGTGGGTCTACCCATTATTATTATTATTAAAGGGCGAAAATTTTTCGCCGTTATCCAATGGGCATGTAACACAGGGTTTCCATTTTTGTTAAGGCCTTAATAAATAGGCCAGATTTATGATGAATTTTACCAGAAAAGGCTGTTTCAAATTTCCGCTCACTATATAAATTAACTAAACTTTAAACAGTTATATCTCAATTTCTAAACATAATTTGTTAATTAATATTAACGTTTATCAACGGAATATTGGGAATATATTATCGTTATATCAATACATAATTCTGTAATTCCTTATCGAGTCTACTTGTCACGTGATGTTATAAAGGCCCATATGGAACAATAGTAAATACCTCAGACCGCCAATCACTTTTGGCAAAAAATTCCCCATATCATATATGAAGAGAAATCATGTATTCATACAAAACGTTGAAGCCAAATGTGGCAAACTTTATAAAAATGGTTTATTATTTACAAAGTGCAGTAATGTGCTTACATATTATAAGTTTTTTCTGTTTTTTCGGGTAAATAAAATACAAATTCAAGCATCAATATACGTACGTTACAACAAAATGTTATATTCCAACTGGTCTTTCCTGATTACTATTTTTCGCTTTTGTGGTGATCGATACTCCTTCAGTCGGGCGTTCACTATCACTCTTCCAACAGTGAATTTTTCCTTCTCAGCTCTATCCTTCATAAGCTTGAATCGACAAACTGTAAGATTCAACAATTTCTGCAAATAGCAAGGGATATTAGATAAAATAATTTAAACACTGATTTTGGATTTTACAAACATTAACTTGAAGCATAATGCGCGCAATCCTAATGACAGACCCAAGTTCTGAATATGTGGTTGGAATATCAAAATCCGCCAAATTTACTGATGTATAAAATCCAGCTCCTATATAAACAACTAAGAAGGCGCGAATAAAAAAACAATGAGATAAGAATCCGGACATCAGAAGCTTGGTGGTAGCTCTCAATACTTGTTTTGATAGCATTCCATCACCATCAGCTGATATCGCTTCAATTAGGGTTCTATGCATGTCTCTTAATGTCTTCTGAGCTTTTAAGGTATTTGAAAGAATCTTTCGTTCATTATCAATTTTGGAGCCTGTGCGCTCGCAAAGTGAAAATTCGCGACCATACGGCAAATCTTTTGCCAGATCATGCCTCTGTTGATTTAAGTTAGTGTTGGTAAGCAATATTGACAATGGACCCCTCCAAAAATCTACCATACCGTAAACATCCTGTCCATATGATATCCCTCTGTGGTTTTTGGGCATCTACCGCCACAGCTCGACGATCCCGGGAAGCCCTTGATACCATTTCACCGCTTATTTATATTTAAGGACAATTATAAATATTATTACCAAACAATGAAATTTCTTATAATTTTATAACGGAACTTACAAGTGGCTGTCTAGAACGTTGTCGAGGCACGAAAATATATGTCGTTTGATGAAGATATCAATATCCCTCTCGGAATTTTCGCTGAGGAATGTTCTTTGCAAGCATTTCACACCTGGTTATAAAGTTATAGTTAAAAGAACTCATGCAGAATAATAAGATTCCGAATTAATACGCATCGAATAACTTACGTGAATCGAATCAAGTCCACGATATATTGCACATCAGGGTTTAGGTAGTCTTCTTCTTTGACAAGAAGTTCCGGCTTTTCCTTATCATTCGTATCTTCTTCGTCAAATAAAGAAACATTTAAGCTTCGCATCTCAGCATTCCTCGCCATGTTCTGAATTTCAAGGATAGCTCCGCGCATTCCTTCGAGTCGCACTATTTTTCCAATCTTACAGAGCTGATCGTTATCAAGACTGGAGTCAAAACGTTCATTAATATTAATTAAATAAAATGCAACAATGCTAAATTGTCAACACTAACCTTAGCAAGAGTCTGTAAACACCTCTCAGCTATAGGATCTAGTATTGTCCAACATTCAGTGAGATGGCCAGCATTAAGGCAGATGAAAATACGGCGATCAGCTCCGACATATCTGCTTCCGTCAGAAGGTCTGATACAATGTTTGGATCCGAGGCATCTATTATTCCCCACCAGATCGGGCTAGGAATTAGTCAAGAAATAATCAGATTATGTCAAAGATAAAAAGGCCAATATATATTATATCTATAAAACTAATTTCAATGACGATTTGAATCTTGCAGATAGGTCTGTTTGTGAGGTCAAAGACTTTTGTCGTTCTATTACTTTACTTAGCCAGGTTGGCATTG